ACTCACCATTAAATTGGTTTCACTGATCAACACCTAGGGGCACATATAGGAATAACATTTATCAGGAGTTGGGCAGATGGGAGGAGGAGGGGACGGGTATATGCATACACAAAGAGTGCATCACCCGATGCGCACCACCCGAAGGATGGACATATTTGAAACTCGGACTTGCGGGGGGGGGTGGGCAAGGGCAACATACATAACCTAAACATTTGTACCCTCTTAATATGCTGAAATAAAAAACAAAAAACAAAGAAAATAATTTTATGAGGAAAAAAATTGTTAGTTTTCTTTATAATAGAATAAACTCAAACCTTATATTTCATTTTATTCTACTGCATGCCATGATGAAGGGCTCTTTATTCATCTCTTGGGAATCTAATTAATGTGGTAGTACCAGACTACTTTTACCGTATTTAATCATCTCTCTGGGTACTTTAGTGCTTCAGTGGAATAGAAAAACTTTATCCCTAATCTATAACTTGGAGAAGGTCGGCTAACTTAAGGGGTTTGGGAAGAGAACTGCATTACAGGAAATGAAAAAGAAGGCTTGAGCTCTCAAGCCTCTCAAAGCTATTGCAATGTTTTAAAATGTCAGTTGAATTACATTACCAATTATACCCTGGAATCTCAACTTTTTGCAGGGATTTACAATCAGTAAATCAGGATGTTCACAAATCTACTCTGCAGAGTCACCTTTCTATACAGTGCTGCTGAATTTAAGAGAAATGTCCTTTCCCTGTGGGATACATTCAAAGACTGGAAAATTGTGCTGTTGGTCATGTCTTAATTGGGTATGTGACCTAAAAAAAAAATCTATACAAATACGTACCTCTGCATTTTTTCTTTTTTTTGGTATACTGGATAAATACATAAAAAGCAATCATAAAAATATGCAGAGGTAGATATTTATATGACTTCATGGTTGAAAGAAAAAGTCAAATTATGAATCTCTTTGGGAGAATTTTAGTTTCCCAAAAATAAGTAGAGAAAAAGCTCTACCTTCAAAAGCATTTTAAAAATGTTCTGTTGATAGGAGCTTAAAGAGGACATGGGGCAAACAGAGAATTTCAATGTTTAAAAGTTTGATTTGCTGCTATGAAAAGATCACATTCATGATAGGCACTGACACAATGTGTAAGGATTAACTTGTAAAATTACCTATTGATCCAGAGTTAATAACAGATGTCCAATACTCTAGTAAGTAGTTATATACATAAATCTTCATTTTCAAAGACTTTTCTCTTTCTTTAATTTTGTATTATATAAGTAATATATTCACTTTAAGAAAATCAAAAGAAATAATAAAAATTCACATAATTTTATTACTCAGAGATAACCACTCTTAACAGACTATATTTATTTGTTTTTAAATTTTTTAATGGACTACTATTTTAAACATACATTTTCTTTTTATAAAATAGGAGCAAACTTTATCTACTATTTATACCATTAAAAAATCAACAATATATTATGAACATCTTGTGTCATTAACTATTTTTCTAAGATACATTATTATTGACTACATTTGAATTCCACTGTTTGAATGTGCCACAATTGCTAAAAAAAAATCCTTACTGTTGGCATTCAGAATATTTATAGGTTTTATTTATTTTATTTGGTGTTAAAAATTTTAGAAATCACTCTAGATACAGAATAAATATTTGGATCAAGTTCTCAGCCCAAAGAAAGGCATTTTAAATTCATTTGCCTTTTTGAAATTCTTGGCCTTTCTTCTTTCTAAGGAGCAAGAATTATTCTGTGAGAAAACTGAACTGTATTAGAAATACATAGCACAGAACCAAGTTGGAACTAAGAGGTGTGGCAGTGAGAGGGTGCATTGTCTGCAGAGAATTAAAAAGCAACAATAACAGTAACTAAATCTGTCTGTTTTTATGACCATGTGTTGGAAATTCTAAAAAATGTCAATGAAAAAACCATCCCTCCCTAACAGAGCAAACTACTTCTACCACCCACTCCTTGAGAGGCCAGAGCATCTTAAAAGAGGAAGAATGTGATTGGATACATTTAAACTGACTCTCTTATAGACTCATCTATCCTGAAATGTCACCCAGTGCTTGCACTGAAGCAGGACATTTTGACCTTAATTAGCAGAGGATAAGGTTAGGGAGGTGTACTACTTAATCAGTAACAAACAGGAACATTATTACATGATCAGAGATCACAATCAATACTGACCTTCTCTTTTCTCTATTTGCATTAAAGATGTTTACTGAAAATGTAAATGGATCTGAAAAGTTACTGTATTTAGAATATGTTTAAAAATGTTGAGACTATTTATTTACAAAGCAAAAAGAAACAGATAATTGTACTCTACACAGATAACTGAAGGGAAAGCTGAAAAAACAGTTCTTTCATTATAATTTCTATAATTTCAAGTGCTTGAAATACAGCTATTGTGACTGACGAGATGCATTTTTAGTTCTATGTAATCTTAATTACTTTAAATTGAATTTGACATGTTGGAGGCAGATGTAACTAGTAGCTACCCTACTGGGCAGTGTAGCTAAAGAAGTGAGAGGCAAGAACCAGCCAGGGGTTTCAGGGAAGCCTCCCTGGACGAGATGAGCGTATTCAGAGTTAGCCAGTTTGATATAAAGGAGAAAGAGTTTTAAATAGATTATTTTAAAAATGCATTCAAAAATACATTTGGCTTTTAAGAAAAAAAGGTATTGGGGTTAAAAATCTGCATTAGTTCAGATTCAATATAAAGTTCCCTCTCTTTAAGAGTATCTTGAAGTGAAGCCTCCTAAATCAGAAGGCCAGAATATTATAAACTGCTGCTTCAAGCACATCCTCTTAGAGTTTTCCATGAACGGATTCCCTAAAAACAAAACTGAAGACAATTTTAATCAGGAGTCTGGGCAGGAGTGAGTGCTCATGTCAGCACATGTGAAATTGGGACATGGTTGTGTGTCTTGCTTCTCTGCGTAATTAGGCTTGGTCTTACCTCACTTTTCTGGTTTGCACGCCCTCTCCACAGTTATCCCGCATATTCACAAAGGTCACCTTGCAGACGCTCCAGGGCTCCGTGACCCATATGTACTGATTGCAGTCACTGTGGCATGGGACGACCTCATACACCTGAAACACACATGGGTCTCAGCGATCTCAGGGAATCCCATGAGAGTGAGTGGGAAGACTCTCCCACCACAACAATCATTACTTCATTGGTAAGCTACTTCCACTTCTCTCCTGCATTGCTCATTATTCTAAAGTAGCAACAGAGAGAAATCTCTTGAAGCCAGTGCTGTTGTAGTCTGCTGCTCTGCTAGTATGTTGCAAGCTGACCCACTGGACCACAACAGATACATTACCCATTTTCCTGTACTGACTCTTTCCACACTGTATTGTAATTTTCTGGCCCACCTATCTTGTTCACAGTTTTGTGTGTCTTTAATACTTAGCTCAGGGGCGCTCATATGCTAGGCACCCAATAGCTATTTGTTGAATAAATGAATGAATGGGTGAATGGATGAATTAAATGAATATAAAAACATAGCTGTTTTCTACATCAATATAATGTGGCCTGTTTTCCAGATAAATATGTGTAATAATGAGAATTTATTTTTCTTGTGTTTCATATAGAAAACTAAATTAAAAGATAAATAATACAAAAATAAAGCCATCTTAAAACTAGTCCTCAATCATTTAAGGCTTGGAGGCAATCTGAAGTGGGTCTCATTGCATAGCTACAGCCCCAAGAAATGAGGGCCACACGAAACAAAGCAAATTGTCAGTGCTCTGGTGTCCACAAGCCACACGTTTTGGGTAGTATGCTTGGGATTCAGGATTTTTATAACAATGAACCAATTATGCTCTTTTCTCAATGAGAAGAATAACTAAATAAAGGAAATAAATGGCCCATAATCTACTGCAACCAAGCTGGCTCAACCATGAAAGAAAAATCTCTTAAAATACTTTCATAATCTATGATAGCAAAATTTTACTTTCTATTTTACACACACACACACACA